CAAACCTCTAAGCAAAAATTGGCTGGAAAATGTTGAAGAGAAAAAAAGAAAGGCAGCGGCATCAGCTCTCATCACACTGGGAAGGCTTTCTTTCAGCCATCAATGCAACAGGGGTTTGAATGCTTTCATTAAGCCACAAAGACCGATTCAATCAGTGTGGCGCTTCTAAAGTCTACAGCATTTACTCTCGAATTAATCCAGCACAACTGAGATTAACCTACACATTTTATAAAAAAAAATAAGTGTTAGGTGATCATGCTTAAAAAGCCTTGCAGAGTAATCATCTGGTTTTTTCCCCTAAAAATTGAGTTATTAGCTCCATTTAAACCATGCCATTCGCCAACTGTGTCGTATGGAAAAGGCAAATGCCGCAAATGGATCTGAGAGCAAATCAAGCCTGCCTTCTCACTAGGAGCTAAAATGCTGAAACTGGGCGGGGGGGGGGGGTGTTGTACTTTGGGCACATTATGAGCTGTGGAAAAGATGATAATGATCAGTAGAGTGGCAGACAGTAGCGGAAAAAAAAGGAGACTACACTCCAGGTGGGTGGATTCTCCAAGGACAGGATCCTTGGAGAGGTGCGGCCCACCACATGCATCCTAGACCCCTGCCCATCCTGGCTGATCAAGGAAGCCAGAGGGGGTTTGGCAGAGTGGGTGAAGGTGGTGGTTAATGCCTCCTTACAGGAGGGCAAGATTCCAGCGAGCTTGAAACAAGCTATTATCAAACCGCTGTTGAAAAAACCATCACTGGACCCCACTCAATTAGACAACTATCGGCCAGTTTCCAATCTCCCCTATTTGGGCAAAGTCCTGGAACGTGTGGTGGCAGCACAACTCCAGGGATTTCTGGTAGACACTGATTATCTTGATCCGGCACAGTCTGGCTTTAGACCGGGACATGGAACGGAAACAGCCTTGGTCGCCTTGGTAGATGATCTGCGCAGGGAACTGGACAGGGGGAGTGTGTCCCTGTTAGTTCTGCTGGACCTCTCAGCGGCCTTCGATACCGTCGATCACGGTATCCTTCTGGGACGCCTCACAGACATGGGTCTTGGGGGTACTGCTTTGCAGTGGCTCCAGTCATTTCTTGAGGGACGGTCCCAGAAGGTGTTACTGGGTGACACCTGTTCGGCCCCACAACCGTTGTCGTGTGGAGTCCCACAGGGTTCGATCCTGTCCCCAATGTTATTTAACATCTACATGAAGCCGCTGGGGGAGATCATTCGGAGTTTCGGAATGAGATGTTATCTCTATGCAGATGATGTCCAAATCTGTCACTCCTTCTCACCTGTCACCAAGGAGGCCGTCCAGACCTTGAATCGGTGTCTTGGCTGCTGTGTCGGACTGGATGAGAGCTAACAAATTGAAATTGAATCCAGACAAGACAGAGGTCCTACTGGTCAGTCGCAAGGCCGAACAGGGTATAGGGTTACAGCCTGTGCTGGATGGGGTTACACTCCCCCTGAAGACGCAGGTTCGCAGCTTGGGAGTGATCCTGGACTCATCGCTGAGCCTGGAACCCCAGGTCTCGGCAGTGGCCGGGAGAGCTTTTGCACAATTAAAACTTGTGCACCAGTTGCGCCCGTACCTCGGGAAGTCTGATCTGGCCACGGTGGTCCACGCTCTTGTTACATCCCGAATAGACTACTGCAACGCTCTCTACGTGGGGTTGCCTTTGAAAACTGTTCGGAAACTTCAACTAGTCCAACGAGCGGCAGCCAGATTGCTCACCGGAGCGACATACAGGGAGCATACCACCCCCCTGTTATGCCAGCTCCACTGGCTGCCGATTCAGTTCCAAGCACAATTCAAAGTGCTGGTTTTGACCTACAAAACCCTATACGGTTCCGGTCCAGTGTATCTGTCCGAACGTATCTCCCTCTATGTCCCACCCCGAAGTCTGAGATCATCCGGGGAGGCCCTGCTCTCGACCCCACCACTGTCACAAGTGAGGCTGGTGGGGACGAGGGGCAGGGCTTTCTCGGTGGTGGCCCCCCACCTGTGGAACTCACTCCCGGGGGAGATTAGGGCATCATCATCCCTCCTCGCCTTCAGGAGGAGGGTGAAAACTTGGTTATGGGACCAGGCCTTTGGGCACTCTGGTAATTAAATCACTCAATTAGGCAAGCAAGACCAGCAGGATGGTTGAATGGAACGAAAATCTAGATCTAGGTGTTAACAAACACTGACCATGTAAGAGGAAAAACTGGGTTTGTATTTGGTTTTAATGATTTTATTGATTTTATGGTTATATTGCATGCATGTCATCTGTGAATTGTTGTAATTTTATGTAAATTTGTGTATGATTGTTTATGACGCAGGCATTAAATCGTGCCTTGCTCTTGTAAGCCGCCCTGAGTCCCCTTCGGGGTGAGAAGGGCGGGGTATAAGAACCCCAAATAAATAAATAAATAATAATAAATAATTCAGTCAAGGGTGCCAGAGGTACCTTGAGTTTGTCATGCCAGCGCAGGGCTCAGGATGACTAGGACCCATGGAGCTCGCCCATTTGGAGGGTCAAAGCCCACTTGACAGTAAACAGACACCCACCTTCTCAAATCAAGGCTACGTAATTGACTGAAGTCTTTTGGCAAGATTAATTTGTTGGAAATAGCAACCTTCTTCAAGCCTCCACTAGTAATTTGTTTGTATATAATTCTGTGCTGGTACGGCTGTACCAGGAGCTCCTACTTCATTTTCTTTCTATTGAGTGTTTGCATGTATTCCAAGGTTCCATGCATTTTGCGATAAGGTGGTTTCCCTTGCTCTGCAATTATAGGGCCAATGACCCATCAATCATCATTATGTTCTTTAGTTCTGCCCCTTTCCTTAGGGCTCTGGGAGGGAAAGGAAAACTTCAGGCAGTCTTTCAGTTTTGGAAGCCCAGTTGCAGGACGTGAGCTTTCCCCACCTGTAGAGAAGCTTCATTTCTCACAACATCCGGGGAAAACAGCCCTAAAACTTCTAAGGAAAACAGTTTTACAGCACAACCCTTGTTGGGGTTAAAGATACAGATCCACATCATTCGTGGAGAAAATCCAAAAGGACTCCAGCTGGAAAATCTACAAGGTCTTGGCTGGTAGGTCTGCTCGGGTAACCAGAAGCAATTGGAGCCGGGAGTAGGGCCCACACCAGCAGAGCCTAGAAAACAGATTGCCCGGGAGGGGTCAAAAAGGGTTTTCCTTGTTAAAGAAAGAAATAGTTCTCCAAGCAAGATGCCCACCAGTTGATTCAAAGCCTTGAAGCATTTGTTTAATTTGTTGAAGATCTAAGAAGTATTTGATTGTTTGTTGAAGAGTTAAGCAATAATAAAGGACTTTGTTAAACCTTTCAAGCGTCTAAAGACTCTGTATAGGAAAATCCTTAGGGCCTCTCACTTGAGGCACCCCAGCTTCCAGCTGGGCACAAAGAGCATGTCCTGTTCAAAAGCCAAATGCTATAGGCCCAGCGCATGACAGCACAAATTCAGATACAATATACTTGTATATAATTATTGTATTGTATATGTGTGTATTGGTATGCAGTTTGCCTTAACTCTATGTTGTGGGAGGGACTGCAGACCATGTGATCAGATCTGGGACTGCCTAAAGGTCTCAGAATTCATTCTAAAAAGACTAGAGACACCATTAATATAATAATAATAATAATAATAATAATAATAATAATAATAATAATAATAATACAAACTTTATTTATACCTCGCCACCATCTCCCTGAAGGGGACTCGGGGCGGCTAACATGAGGCCAAGCCCAAAGATACAATACAGCAAAATAAAGTGCAAAATACAACAACAAAAATTACATCACAATAAAGAACATACAGTGGCAAAATAAAATAAAGCAAAATAACATAATAGAAAATTGAACTCAATGGGCAGGCCAAATGGACAAGGTAAAATGATAAAACCCTGGATGAGGTAGGAGTAGAAAAAGTGTATTTGAGAGGAGCCCAAAAAGGGCTCCTGTCAGAACAGAGAGATGCTTTAGACTGTAGATTCCAAGAAAGATGCCCTGTGTTATCTGCACTGAAATCCGATCTGTAACTGGATTGATAAGCAATATTTATTTATTTATTTGCCATATTTATATACCGCCCCTCTCAGCCCCGAGGCGACTTGGACCAATTCATAATTGGCAACAATTTGATGCTTCAGCAATCATAACAAATAAAACAATCATGAAATACTGTTAAAAACATTAGCTTCTATATAAATAAAAATGTAATGTTCGTTTGTGGGATTAACAGAACTCAAAAACCACTGGATGAATTGACACCAAATTTGGACACAAGACACCTAACAACCCAATGTATGTCCTTCACTCAAAAAAAAAAATGATTTTGTCATTTGAGAGTTGTAGTTGCTGGGATTTATAGTTCACCTACAATCAAAGAGCATTCTGAACTTCACCAATGATGGAATTGAACCAAACTTGGCACACAGTTCTCCCATGAGCAACAGAAAATACTGGAAGGTTTTAGTGGGCAGTGTCCTTTGGTTTTGGAGTTGTAGTTCATCTACACCCAGAGATCACTGTGGACACAAACAATGATGGATCTGGACCAAACTCTACCTGAATACTCAATATGCCCAAATGTGAACACTAGTGGAGTTTGGGGAAAATAGAATCTTGACATTTGGGAGTTGTAGTTGCTGGGATTTATAATTCACCTACAATCACAGAGCATTCTGAACTTCACCAACGATAGGATTGGGCCAAACCTCCCACACAGAACCCCCAATGCGTGGCAGGGGACAGCTAGTACAATATAAAAATATAAAAACCGTACAAAGCCTTAAAACATCATCGTGAGCGTCTCCATGTCAAGTCATTGGATTGCGTCATCCAGTAATTCCATGCTTTTGTATAACTATGCCATATTTGGGGAGGTCTGCTCAAAAAGCCAGGTTTTCACCTTTCTTCGAAAAGTCAGGAGGGAGGGGGCTGATCTTGTATCTCTAGGTAGGGCGTTCCACAGTCAAGGGGCCACAGCTGAGAAGGCCCTGTCTCTTAAACCCTGCCAAACACATCTGCGAGGAAGCATAAATGTTCCTCTCCACGGAAATCTTTAGTAAAAGACAAAAGATTTATATGATTTGAAGAGAAACCAAAGTATATATGTATGCTGTATGCTGAATACATGAAGTTTGTGAGTAAACCAACTATGTTATTTTAACAAAGATTACTTTATTTTTTGTCTCTTGAGAGCATGATTTAAAACTAAATATATTTTATGGGAGAGTAGATTTTTTTTGGGCAAATGAAAAGAACACTTCTGAAACTCTGCTATTTTTTGTGCATTGGCATATCTTTGCTCCTAACAGTTTAAAGAGATATCTAGGTATATCTGTCTAACAGCTGAGAAATCTACACTGCCTTGCATGAATACTAGTGGCTATTTACCGCTAAGAAGAAGGCTGACTTAAGCGGGTTTTTAACTCTTCTCAGGAAGATCATACTTTACAAAAAGGTTATGATCTCAGAAAAGGTCATGCCTTTCCAAAAGGTTAATAATAATAACAACTACAACAACAACTTTATTTTTGTATCCTGCCATTATCTACCCAAAGGAACTCGGGGGGGGGGGGGAGCTTACATGAGAATAAGCCCAGTCAAGCATAGAATTAAAACATATCACAGTAAAATTTATAAAACAACATAAGAACAACAACATCATTCAACCCATAGACTGACATGGTAGTTATTCCGAATAGTGTGAATGCCAATTAATCTCCAAAAGGGGCACGCTTTCAAAAGCCTGTGGGGATTCCTGATTTTCCCCAAAGGTCCTGAATGCCATTTTTTCCAAAATATGGTTTCATCTGCAAGAGGCAAAATTGTATGCTGCAGTAGCACCTGTAACTTCTTGGTTGTCACAGACCTTGAAGTGGCAAAGTGAGATGGGGCTATTCCAGGTAAAGAAGGAGCAATTTATTTATCCTTGGGGTGAGGGGTAGTTTCAAAAATGGTAAAGGAACAACAACAGCAGTGGCAGCAGTTCAGCAGATCAGAAGCTTCAAGTGCCAGCGGTAGAGTCAACTGAACTTCAGCAGTTCAGGAGCAGAATTAAGCTTTACTTCATTTATTTACCACATTTATATCCAACCCTTCTCACCCCAAAAGGGGACTCAAGATGATTCACAACAAAGGCAGAATTCGGTATATATGTATATTGAGTACATATAAAAATGTATATTGAGTACATATAAAAATAAACAACATATACTTTAAAACCACATAATTAAAACATATCACTTAAAACAGTTACTTACAGTTAAAACAGTTAAAAGCTACAAAAGCCTTTTTTTTAAAAAAAAGAACTGCATTCCTAAATAAGAAAGTTAGGACCTAGGTAGTATCTAACTATCTTGTCTTTCTTCATGCTCATAGGAGAAGAACAAATGGAGGACTTAGGGGCTTGACATGTGACAACAACAACAACAACAATAATAATACACTTTATTTATTTATTTATTTATTTATTTATTTATTTACACAAACATTAAAATCAAATTGTTAAAACCATCTCAAGCCAGCCATACCAGATGGTTTCCTGTGATTAACTTACTGTTATTAACTTATTGACTTAAATCAAGAAATAGTCTTCTAAGATCTACAGAGACACTCGCTGGAATACCCCAGCAAGCAAGAGTCCAAAAGTGGCAGGCTGAAACCTCAATCAGTGGCTGATACCAAATGAGAGACTCATTCCTAGGCACACAGAAGACTGGGCAATTTGGAAGGCGCTGAACAGACAGCGCTCTGGCACCACGAGATGCAGAGCCAATCTTAAGAAATGAGGCTACAAAGTGGAATCCACGACATGCGAGTGTGGAGAAGAACAAACCACTGACCATCTGCTGCAATGCATCCTGAGTCCTTCTACATGCACAATGGAGGACCTTCTTGCGGCAACGCCAGAGGCACTCCAAGTGGCCAGATACTGGTCAAAGGACATTTAACCAAATACCAAACTTGCAAAATCTGTGTTTTGTCTGTCTGTTTGTTTGTTTGTTTTGTTAAAAATGTAATACAAATGTCTGGTTGCTCCTGACACGATAAATAAATAAATAACTTACTGCACTATCCCAAAGGCTTGGTCCCACAACCAGTTTTTTTACCATCTTTCTGAAAGACAGGAGGGAGGGGGCCGAGCTAATCTCACCAGGAAGGGAGTTCCATAGCCAGGGGGCAATCACTGAGAAGGCTCTCTCTGTCTCGTCCCCGCCAAACACACCTGTGACGGTGGCAGGACCGAGAGCAGGGCCTTCCCGGAGGATCTTAGTCTCCATGGTGGTTTGTAGAGGGAGGTGCATTCAGACAGGTAAACTGGACCAGGGCCGTTTAGGGCTTTATAGGTCAATAAATTCAGCACTTTGAATTTATTTGTATTCCACCCTTCTCCCCTAGGGGGCTCATAGCAGATCACAGCATTTTACATACATAGGCAAACATTCAGTGCCTTCACAATTATCAATAGGACACACAAACACAAACAAAGGCAGAAGCTTCGCCTTTTTCATTTCCGGCTTCTGAGAGAGTGCTCATCACTGGCTTTGGGAGGTGCTTACCTCCGTTTTCAAGCCAAGGAGCCTGCGTTGTCATCTCCTGATTGTGTGGCCAGTAAGATTGCTTGGAGAATTTCCCTGTCAAAGTGATACCTATTTATCTAGTCACACATACATGTTTTCGAACTGTTAGGTTGGCAGGAACTGGAGCTGACAAACAGGAGCTAACCCCATCTCGTGGATCAAACTACTGTTCTTTGGGTCAGCAGTTCAGCAGCACAAGGGTTTAACTCATCATGCCACCACAGCTCCTTGGAATAAAAATAAAATTTTAAAAAATGAATTAAAAAGAGGAATGTCCCTAGACCAGGCATGGGCAAACTTCAGCCCTCCAGGTGTTTTGGACTTCAACTCCCACAACTCCCATGTATAAATATGTGAGAAGAAGTCATAGGGAGGAGGGAGCAAGCTTGTTTTCTGCTGCCCTGGAGACTAGGACACAGAACAATGGCTTCAAACTACAAGAAAGGAGATTCCATCTGAACATTAGGAAGAACTTCCTGACTGTGAGAGCTGTTCAGCAATGGAACTCTCTGCCCCAGGGTGTGGTGGAAGCTCCTTCTTTGCAGGCTTTTATTTTTTTTAATTAGAATTTTATTAATTTTTATATAGATTACAACGAAAGAGTGAGAACAATAAAGTATAGGAAAGTGAGGAAATGAAGAAAAAAAGAAAAAAGAAGAAGAAACAAAAAAGTATGCTAAAATCCCAAATAACCCCTAAAAAAAAATTCTACAAAAATACACAAAAAACACAAAAAAAGAAAAACAGAAACTAGATGGTCTCTTCCAACTATATGATTCTATGATCTGTTTTCAAAAAACACTGTCAAGATTCTCTTTATGTACGGCACTATAGTTTGGGTCCATTGCCTAGGGATCCTAGGCATAGGGTCCATAGGAGGTCTCTTCCAACTCTATGATTCTATGATTGTAATTCCTAACAGCAACTAGGTTGTTAAGAATTGTGGAAGCTGAAGTCCAAAACACCTGGAGGTCTGAAGTTTGCCCATGCCTGCCCTAGACATATCCATCTAACAAACAGGGGAAATAGAAGGAGATGATAGAGAGATCAGCAGACAGAGAGACCAATAGGGAAGGGCTTTTCCTTACCCCTTGATGAGGACTCCAATCTTGTGCCAGGGTATGTGTTCCGTCTTCCAGGAGCATAATTTGCATTACCTTTTAGTTGCATGGGATAGTGTTCTTTTGCATTTCCCCAGGGCTGCTACAGACCCAGCAGCACCCTGGAAGTTAAACAGTATCAGAGTCTGCAAAGCCAGCCTGCAGGCCCTTTGCAGCTATTGGTTTAGAAAAGTATCTCTTTGGGTCTATAAACCGCCTTTTTTCCTGGGTTGAGATCTCCATTTTAGAATCTTCCCTGCCTCTTTCAGTAGAGAAAGAAAGCTTCAGATGTGCTGTTGGTCAGGCAGGTAACTCTGAAAAAACCATTATAAGAACTATTGAGCTATATAGAAGCATATTGAGATTTAGATAGAGAAGCTATTGAGTACTATAGAGATAGATAGATAGATAGATAGATAGATAGATAGATAGATAGATAGATAGATCGAATAGGTATTGAGCATTACTTCATCTCCTATAGATGGGGGGGGGGACTGCTTTTTTTCTAAACCATAGCAGCTCAGGGTTAGGGTGAAAAGATCTCAGGATTTTCTTCTGCCTTTTGGGGAAAAGTTATCTCAGTAACTAAAGGAAAGAAAGATCATCTCTATTGTTTCACCAATTGACTGTTTAGTTTGTAACTTTAACAAGCTGTGCCAAGTCTGCAAGGACTTTGAGAAATAAATATTCTGTTTTGATGTAGTAGCCTCAGTTGCTGAAAATCTCAAGCTTCTAAAGAAAGACCCCTGCGGTCCACCCAGACAAAGAGAGAAGCATATTTTAGTTTATTTTTGTGGGGTCTGGGTGCGATGGCACAGTATGGTTGAGTCTCAACTTTGGCTACTCCTGGCTGATGGCAATTTTCTCCTAGAGAATAATGGCATCTTATTCTCCAGTATCGAGCCTGATTGTGTGTCTAGTTCATTTTTGGTCAAATGGACCTCTCCTCTCAAAGGCTAAAGGCTGTGATGCAGTCATTTCAGTCAAGATGTACTTGATGGTGTCACAAGTGGTCAGACAAGGTTCACCACCTTTTGTGAGAGCCATAAAGCGATAGGAACTTGTTATGAAAGATAATTTGCCGCTGAACAAATTATTTTGACGGCACAAATTTGCAGTCTACGGATGCTAGCCCTCTTCTTTTGCCTCCTATGTCCACGGTTTCATCAATATCAGAATTTCCGAGAATGGCTAAGCTACTCGTTGAAAGGGAATGCCACATGTTGAAGAGCAATGTTGAATAGCACCCAAGTGTTCATTGTCGGTGGCAGAGTGGATGGTGAAGTGCGCATTTCTGGACAAATTGCAAAATTGATCTTTTTTTTCCCCACTGGCAACCCGGGAAAGAAAGAATAGCAAAAAAGCAACAATAATTGTGTTTCATATCCGATAAGGTCAAACAGAGTCCATGAAGGAAATGGGTA